CATCAAATTCATAATTGTATATTGAAGAGTAAGATTTTGTAAGCTTAAGGTCGAATACTCGAATAGAATGATCATTAAACATGATTACAGTGTGTTCAGCACTAGCCCAATCAGCGTCGATAACTTGTAACTTTTTATCTGTCTTCAATGTTGAAATTATTTCAATAGATTGAGGAGACTAGAAAAACATGCACATATTTCACTTGTCTATAATTTTGTTAAATCACTTTTACAATATTATTGTGGGTGTACTGTACACTTCACACCAACACTTTATATAATATATAGGTAATATGATCAATTTTTGTAATTCTAAACTTCAGTGAATAATGAAATACTCACCCCAAAAACATTGAAAATGTCAATGCCATCTGATGACAAACACAAAAATCGGAAATTCCCAGCACCAGGAGCAAATTTTAATTTTCGTATTTCCAAACGATTAATATGTTGCTTTTGTTTGTCCATATGGTTACTTAAATCCCACACAAACAAATTACCATCACTGTCTACTTGTAATGCAATGTTTAACTTGCATGTAAGGTATACAGGAGACTTTAACAAAATCTGATGGGAAAATTGAAAAATAAATATAGCATTTTTTTAATAATGCGTCCACATACTTACTCCAGGCTCAATCATTGTACCAGGCTTCAAAAAACTATTTGAATCAATTAAGAAAGCATAGAGGTTGCCTGCTATGTCAGAAATTAATAAATGTTCTGGGTATTTTGATCCAATTTCATTTTCTAATTATAATAATTACATAATTTAAATTAAATTTGTTTTCTTCGATTTTATTATAGATTTAAAATAAACAATATTATATAATATTACATAATTATGTACCTTCAATTATAGGGGTTGTTACACTATTTTTTTTTGCTTTAGACATGTTGCATTGAACCCATTCCTTATTAATTAAAAAAAAAAAATGTTTAAAACTATCAAATTATTAATAATCAAAAAATATTTACCATGCAAACAGCAGGTGGAAATCTTTTTGACATTTTACTTAACAACGACATTGATTTTAAATCCCAAATTTCAACTGGTCCATCTTTGATACCAATCACAAAATACTGTCTATGAATTTAAAATCAAATAATTATATAATTTAATTTTGGGTTATAAAAACAAGTACTTACTTTAACGGTGATACTTTTACAAATACTACATACGGCTCATCTACTTTATTTATACGGACAGGCGTAGACTGTCCACAATGAATATCAGTTACAATTACTTGACTCTTAGTATTTAATGTATATGAATAAAATGACCAAGAAATTATATAACGCTGACTGATCCATTCAATGCCCCTAATATAATTTTTAAGTAGAATTTTATATTCAATTTCAGAAATTAAAATATTATCATTAAGTTATAATTTATAGCTCACCTAACAGGATGAGAATGTACGTGATATTCTTTCAGCATTAATCCTGTAGCTAAATTAAAAATTGCAATGTTCCCGGAATTTGTGCCTACGGCTAAAAGGGGTTTGTATTTAGCTCTTGTAGCTGATGTTAATGGTGGACAATATTTAATGACAGTTAATGTGGATTCAAGACTAGGAAGCATTCCACGAGGATATAACCGTACTTTTGGTATTAAACCTTGATTCTACAAATATACAGAAAAAAATTAGGCACTGTTATTTAGGTACTTCTAGCTATTTTATTACATCATTGAAAGATGGAAAAATGTTACTTAATGTAATTTTATGATAGTCACGTCTTCCAAGGTAAAATGAAACGTCATTAGCTGTAGTCATAATTTTCTCGAGTTCAAAAAACATAATCTTACCCATGCTTAATAGTATTGCTATATTAAAAAATAATAATAATTAAAATTTACTTTAATTTTGATTCAAGTATATTTTAAATCAAAACAAACCACAGTGTTTTTCAGTAATTGGACAAACTGCTAAACCAAGAACCTTAGAATTCTTTGTCTGTCTGATTATTTCACTTTGTATTCTATGTTCATACCACAAATATGTATCAGTAGAGGAGTCTAGATCATAAGATAAAAATAGATAATATATTATTTATGTATATTAAACACACAAGTAAAATTACCATTGCCAGCAACAGTTACAGGAGAAGCATCCATGGGGGACATTAAATAATTTGCTATAGGTTTACGCCTTAATTTCAATGACAAACTTCCAGTTTCTTGTAAACAATATATAATATCACGTTGTCGACAAGAATACATCTAAAAATTTTATAAGTTCCATAAAAAAAATCAATAAAGTTAACTCATTTAAATAATATATTACCTGACAAAATGGAGAAAACGAACGATCTATACTGATTACACCAACTGTCATACTAATATACAGGTCAAGAATCAATATATCATGATGATACATCAAAATTATATGATTCCGTAGTGCACGGTGGTATGTAAATTGAATACATTCAGAAACCGTCAATGAAGGATCCATTCTTAATACAAAAAAAAAATAAAACACATGGAATTAAAGTGAATGCTAAATTCATAATCCCCACACAGGTAGCCATTTAGCATATTTTTAGCTCTCACTTAGGTTGACTTTCTCCTAATACTAAGCCCTTCATCAATCTTTTGAATCTAGTTCTCGGTCGCGTAGATTCTTCAGTTACAGTTGAATTCTCACCAGCTGCAGTATTTGATATGTAAAATTTACGCCCATTACCACTGAGTGCTGTTTTACGATCAAAATTATCAAAAAATAATATACATTCTGGACACAAAACTAGAAAAAATAAAATATTTTGTTATATAAACTCAAAATGAATGGCTTTTGAATAACTTACAAGCAATTCTATTTAAATGAAAGGGGTCAAAAGCAAAACTGTTGATTGTATCGCAAAAGGTTTTTTTCCATAGCCGAGTACCTTTACGTACATCTAATATAGAAAATGTGTAAGGAGAATGTAAAACTCCCAACAGCAAATCATTGTTTAATGAGGATGGCACCCACTCAAGTCCTGATGGTTAAAACTTTGTTAGACATCATGATTAATAATCACATTAAGAAACATCTCACCATTGACCGGTTTTGCTTGTTCTGAGTCAATCCATGAGATACATCGACCTCGGCATACATCCCATAATGCAATATCACCTGCGCAGTCTGCAGATACTAATTCAGATGATGCACCAGAAACAGAATCAAATGGAGCCCACAAAAGCTGAAAAATAATTGTATTTTATCTAGTCATTGACTAAAAATAATTTTATCCAATTTAGTTGTATTAATTAATAAATAGGTAATAAAAGTGATATAATATATTTTAACCTTTTTAATTAATGATTTGTGATCGGTGAAGCATTGGACTGGAATCACTTTGGCTGTATCAACAATTACAACTAAATTATTGGACCCATAAGCTAAAAGGCCATTTTCAGACCTAAACAAATAATTTAACCAACATTACATGTATTTATTAAAATATCCAACACTTAATCCAATAAAGTTAAATTTGAATCCAACTAAAAGATTCCAACATAAACACAGATCTGAAGAAGTATAAAACAATAATATTTTAAACAACTATTACCAATCTATTGCTCCTTTATTTAATATATGACATTGATTTGAAAATGTTCTAGGAGCCGTCATGTGAAGCCTAATAGATTGTTCGGATCCCGTGGAATGTCTTTTGTCTTTATTGGTCTCCATCGGAATGACAAATGTGTATAAATAAAAATAAAAGAATAAAATAAACTCTGAAACGGTAAAAAAAAATCGAAAACTTAAACAAATTGCATTAATACAAAATTTCAAAATACTGAATTTAATATCAAACTTTTATATTATGATGTTGTTTATTGTAGATTATTATCTTATCGTTCACAATAATCTCGTACCGTATCCGACATCAACATTAGCATTGCTGCATATTGAGTAGACAGCCTGTGGTGATGGCACCACAGCTGCGATGTATTTACTTTATAGTTTATATTATCGCTGTGGCTATATCCCCGACAGTCGGGTCTTTATTAAAGACCCGACAACTATGATAACAAATGCGCATGCGCGGAAAATATACATGATAACAATATGACAATGATAATGCGATGATTAGCCGCTTTTACAATTTACAGTTTTATTTTTGAATTTTTGATTACATTTGTTTTTATTGTTTTACATTATTTTAATAATATTAATTCATAATTAATTTAATAATATAAGCTAGAAAGGTAAACATATTACTGTAATTATAATATTTTAGAAATATGGTATTTGTGAATTATGTGAATTATTGTAAATATTATTGAATGTGGATATTATACATTATAAGGAAATTGCAATGGTAAATAGGAAAATGAATTATAAATAAAAAGTCCTTTTATTTTTTTTCATGTTATTTATTCAAAATTGCGCCCATGCTTAAGGGTCCCGGTGCCAGTTTTTCAAATTTTTAATTTCCTACTGCCCGCATCGATCTCTGAATGCTTTTATCTGAGATCCATGTGGGCTGTAGAATATTTTTCTCTAGCAACAAAAAAAATTATGAAATTTGGTTGATTCTTCAAGGTAGTATTGTTATTCCCGAAGAGTGCATTTTTGAGGACGGCACCGGGCGCCTTAAGTCACCATTGCAACAGTTAAGAGGGAAATGGTGATGGATAGGGATATGTGATGGCTAAATAACCGGACATTTAATACTGGGGATGTATGTGACATGGAGATATGTTATATATTATTTGTTAGCAAATATTTGGTACATTCGGTTTACCACAAATTACGAGAAAAAAAACCGAGAAGAAAAAGAAGATATTAAGATAAAAATAGAACCATCCACTGATGACCTAGGTAAATAATATGTTTTATGTTCAATTTTATGTTTCTGTGTCTAATAAAATACATTTTTATTTTTATGTGAATTATTGAATATGAACTTGCAAATGAAATGAGTCCGTATAGATGTTACTATTAAGGTAATTTTGTATTAAATTAAAATGTACCTTAGCTACCTTGGTTTCATTTATTTTAGATTAAAATGGCTATGCAAATAGGAGATGAATTTAACTCTTTTGAGCAATTTCAACAAGCATTAATTGCTTACAAAAATGCAAAATTTATGGATTTTGCCATTAGTGACTGCAGAACGCTGACTGCAGCAAAAAAAACTTGTCCAAAAAGAATGAAAACTGTGTTTGAAGCCTTCCCAGAAGTAAATATAAGTAACTGTTTTATTATTAACTAATTTATGTTAATTTTTATGTAAAATTTTCCCTAGATTGTGTTTGCTGATGCTACATATAAACTATTAGATAGTAGGATTCCAGTTTTTGTCCTTTTGGTAGAGGATGGGAACGGACAAAGCGAAATCGCTTCAATAGGGTTATTAGTCAACGAACTGCATGAAACATTAAAATGGTTTTTTCAAACATTTCAAAAGAATAATCCAGCTAGCATTAATACTAATGTGTTCATGACAGATAAAGACATGAATGAAAGAAAAGTAATAAATGACATTTTTCCAGATGCAAAGCTTTTGATTTGTTTATTTCACGCACTCCGTACTTTCCATCGAGAAATCACATGTGATAAATTGGGCATTACGCCTCAAGAAAGGGACCAATCAAAGGTTTTATTTGAAAAACTATGCTATTCTGATAACGAAGAAGAGTATCAAAAGTTGTACGATACTCTTAGATCATTTGCACCATCACAGGTTATGGATTACTTCTTATGGAAACTGAATTATTATTTTTTAGATTTTAGATAGCTAGGATAAAATGATTATGATTGTTTTTGTTAATTATTTTTGTTTAATTTTGGTACATAATATCCACATTAATATTTATTAATATTCACACAATTCACCTCGCAATTCACAAATAACCTATTTCTAAAATATATGATGTTACTACCAATTGGCAATTAGTAATAATTACTAATTAATATTATAATCTATGAATAATAATATTATCAGATTATCACAGGCGTTATCATTGTTATATTGTTATCATGTGTATTTTCCGCGCATGCGCATTTGTTATCATAGTTGTCGGGTCTTTAATAAAGACCCGACTGTCGGGGATATAGCCACAGCGTTATATCACAGACTATATGAAAACAGATAGCTCACTCGGGATGTAAACAAAAACTATGAATATTATCACCGCGACCAAATCAGTGTGACCACAGTGAGGGCATAACATTTCGTTTGGTCCATGACAAAAAAATGACGCGATTGCTACCTGCCGCCAACATTGAAATTCATACTAACTACCCTTCTATTCTATAGGATCTGACCTTTTACATCCCTTCAGTGGTGCCAACCGTACGGTCCCGGTTGGGGAAGTACGGTAATTTGGCCTCCCGTACGGTCCACGGACGGACCGGTCAAAATTACTAGGAAAGTACGGTAATTGCAGGGTTACCATACGTACGATAAATATTTAAATTTTTTTTTCGTATACCAACAATCTTGAATATCTCCAATGTTTATAAGATAATATAAAATCATATCTTATTCCGTACTCCGTGATTATCATCATTGTGGTAGATCCCAGCGATATCATGTTATATAGTTTTGTCAAAATTACAATTAGGATAAGATAAAATGCGCCTTTATTGAATTTTTGGGGTTTTATATTCTCTTTAAGGTTTTTGACCTTATTTTACTTGTGTGTTTTTCCCCACGATCTATTTTTGCAATGTTTTACTCCACAGTGGCAAACATTTAACCTATAATACTTTGTTGTCGCACATTTTTTTCACATCAAAACGAGTTACTTTTTTTTGTTTAGTCGATTATCCGGTCGTTTTATATATTTTTTATTATGATGTTTAATGAAAGTGATGATGACATTGATGCACCTTCGACTTCAACACTGCGTGGTGAAAGCACCCATACTTGGCCATAGAACGCAGAAATATAGGCCGGAATGGGAGCAACTACCCGGTTTCAACCATTGGCTTGGACCAGTGAAAGACAACATCACAAAAGCTTATTGTTGTTATTGCACACGGGAAATGGTATCAGAAATAACAATAATAAAAAAACATGCAGCTTCTTTGGTTCATTCGAAAAATGTTAAATCCATTACAGGCAAACCCATTACTGATATTTTTAAGAAAGTTGACGATGTGAATGAGGTTAAAAAATCAATCAAATAAAAAAGGCTGAAATATTAATTTGTGGTTTCCACCACATGTTATCACCTAGCTACGAATTTATCACTGTGAAATTTATTATCGTACGGTCCAATACGGTAATTTGACAAAAAGTATACGTACGGTCCTATACGGTAATTTGACAAAATGTATACGGACAACGGACTTTTACATGTTGGCAACACTGCATCCCTTAGAAAATAGGTTATCTTGGCCTTTAGTTGCTGTTTGCACGACTTCCATGTGACTTATTAGTTGACCACTGACCAAGTGTGTAGTTTACTTAATTTTCAGTTTACAATTTAGTTGTACTTCTTAATTTTAAAATGGATAGTAAAAAAACAGGAATGCGTTGCTCTGTACAATTTTGCAAAAGTAAAGCAAGTACTAGGAATATAAGTTTCTTCCAATATCCAAAAGACGATCGTCTAGCATTATGGACAAAAAATTGTGGTACAGAAAATTTGACTGAAGAACTATCAAAAAAAAATAGCTATAAAGTATGTGGGGATCACTTTGTAGATTCAATGTTTTTGAACTCCACAACAAAAAACCGACTAGTTTTCAATGCTATTCCAACAATATTTAATGGTAAGTAAATAATAAAATTATTAAAACATGTTTAAAAATTATACAAATAATTTGAAAAACAAATTTGGATCTTTATAAAGTAATTTTTGGTATAATAATTTAATTTTAATTTTAGTTACGGTTTTTTGAATTTAATTTTTAGATGAAATAATGTTTGAAAGAACTAAATTGGCCAAATTACAGTTGAAAACCGATGTAGATCCACAGTATTTTGATGATAATTCAAAAGACCAGAGTAGCTGTAGTAGTTCAATTCCAGGCACTGAAGGATTAAGAAGTCATTTTAGTGGATCCATGAATACTTCTGATGCTTCAAATGAATCTTGTAGCTCAATCACAACTACTGATTCTTCAAATCAAACACCTGGATACTTATCGGCAAATACACCAAGGAAACAAAAACTAGTCACGGAGATTAAATCTGGAAAACAAGAAATAAAAAATTTAAAGAAGACTGTAGTAAGTCTAAGTCAACAATTAGCTAACTATGATACAGTTGAAAATTTTTTAAAATTAGCTGAAAAATATTTATCACCTGGATTATTTACAATTGTCAAATCCCAAATGAATTTAAAAAAAAAACAAAAAGAAGGTTATAGATATAATAATGAAATTAAACAATTAGCATTAAATATTTATTTTTTAGGACCTAGAGTCTATAAACTTTTATTAAATACTCTTTCACTACCATCAATTTCTACTTTAAAACGGTTAACTCATAAATTTGAAATGATACCAGGCTTGAATGAATTTTTTTTTAATATTATTAAGTATAAAATTAAATATTTTACTGACGAAGCTAAAGAATGTGTTCTCTGTGCAGATGAAATGGCCTTAAAATCAAACCTCTATTATATGTTAAACAAAGATGAAATTATAGGGTTTCATCAAACAAATAAGACAAAGACTTATACTCCTGCCAAGTATGCATTTGTTCTAATGGTTAGAGGAATAAATGTTAACTGGAAACAACCAATTGCATACTTTTTAGTATCAAGTAGTTGTACCGGATATGACTTGCAGGATATTATTTTTGAAACTATTCGCAAACTTTTTGATATAGGATTAAATGTAAAAGCTTTTATTACAGATATGGGTTCTAACTTTGTTAGTTTCAGTAAAAATGTTAATGTTACCCCAGCCAGGCCTTTTTTTAAAGTTGGTGAAAAAAAAATAATATATATATTTGACCCTCCCCATTTATTAAAATCAACAAGAAATATGTTTTTTCAACACAATTTTAAATTTAATAATAACTTAATTGAAAAAAAACACTTAATATCATTTTTTGAACAAGACAGTAAATGTAATTTAAGAACAGCCCCAAAATTAACACATTCTCATATTTTTCCTGGACCATTTGAGAAAATGAAAGTTTTTTTGGCTGCGCAAGTGTTTAGTCAAAGTGTAGCAGCCGGCATGGAGACTTACCTTGTTAGTAATAAATTGGAGTCTTCTTCAAAGGCAACAATAGATTTTATAGAAAATATGGACAAACTTTTTGATATCTTCAATTCTTCAAGAAGGCCAACTTCAAAAAATTTCAATAGACCCTTTAAACAAACAAAAGAACAAGAAGACCATTTAAAATATATGCATAATTTTTTTACAAATTTAATTATTATTAGCAAAAAAGAACAAACTGATGTTACTAACCGGATGAAATTTATTAATGGTTGGTTGATCTCCATAACTGGCTTGCTGTTACTTTGGAAAGACTTAAAATCAACAAGACCATTAAACCAACAAGAAAATTATGTTTTATACACTGCCAGATTAAACCAGGATACTATTGAGAATCTTTTTTGTACAATTAGACAACAAAATGGCAATAACACTAATCCAACTCCTTATCAATTTTTGTTTGCATTTAAAAAAATTTTTTTACTTAATTATTTTCAACACTCAGAAAAAGCAAATTGCATAAATGATTTGGATGCAATTTTAACTCAAATACCCACTGATTCAGACTTAGACATTAGCACCCTATTTGCTGATAAAACACCCTTTCAATTTAAAAAAACGTGTCCACTTTCTATAGGACATGTTGATTATAGAAATTTAGAAATTCCTGAACAAAATGCATTCATTTATGTTTGTGGATATATTATGAGTAAATGTCTAACCAAACACTCATGTGAAATATGTTTAGAGTATGCAAAAACCCAAAAAAATTTAGATCCTTCATTTTTGTTATGCTTTTTTAAAGCGTATGAAAATGCTGAAAAATCAACTTTTGGAAATTTAAATATGCCCCATGAAAATTTTTACAATTATGTTTATAGCTTGGAATCTGAATTTATAAATAGTTTTCCTATTTTGTCTGTTGAAAAAGGAATAGGCGATAAACTTAAAATGAGAATGCTTAATATTGATTATGAACATCCATGTCCCAACTTTGATAAAGATTACTTACTGAATTTTTTTTTGCGTTTTAGAATTTATGCTTCAATTAAATTTTTAAATAGACATTTGGTATCTGAAAAAAAAATCAAAAACAGAAAGTTAGCAATTTTGCAGCATTTGTAAAGCAATATTTTGTAATTGTATTAATTTTATAAATATTTAGATGTATAATTGTAATTTAATAAATACCTTTTTTTATTAGAATTTAATATGTGCTAATTATACTAATTGAATTGTATGATACTACAATTGCTCCATTTATGTTTGAATACCAGTAACTAAATTATAAATTAAACATTAATTAGTTATTACTTTTGTAAATTGTATTATAAGTCTTTATATGTGTCTCTATGTTGTAAATAAAACATATTTAAGTTAGGAATAAATTATGTACTGTGTAATTATTTAGATTACCTACCTATAAATACTTATTATAGATTTTCTTATATATTACCAAATTAGTATATATATCATTTTTATGTTTTAATATGTACTTACCTTTGTTTTCCTTAAGCATGGAAAATGTCTAAATATTGAAATAAATATTTTTTTTATGTAAAGTATGATATCATCATCATGTTTACAGTCTACAGTACTCACAAATGTATTGCAGGTAACTTTAAATATTAACTATATTATAAAATAATATGGTCTGTGGTTAATACTAAAAGACTAAAAAAGTTTTAATGTAAATTTAAATTTATAAAGTAAAGTTAAAAATACAGACTATCTGACTATCTGTGTTAAAAGCTTGTGTTAACTAATAAACTAATAAATAATAAAAACTTTTAACTATCGTCTTTCACAGTTTCACATGTCATTAACTTACGTCTTACTAATTACAATCGGTACATACAAATATACAATAATATTGTATAACATCTGAACAATAATTTATTTAAACGCATGTAGCTACACTGATTTGGTCGCACCCAATCAGAGGATCTTATTTTTTTTCCCATTGTTTTCGGCCGAGTGAGCTATCTGTTTTCATATAGTCTGTGGTTATATTATATCCGTTTTGTTGATCACAGCTGCAGCTTGCAGCAACAGCAACCACAGACTTCTATACTCTAGAAATCAGTGGCTGCAGCAGCTGTTGTCTGCTGATAACAGTAACAGATGAGCAAAATTTTGTGGAGGCACGACAGAATATAAACAATAACATCAAGGACATCAAATTTATAGGAATAACAAAATAGCCAATAGGTACCCAATACCATAGAACAATACCTAATATAATAATATTAAATATAATTATACTATTAAACTATTATAATATACTCTCTTACAAGATCTTATTATATCCATGTATACTCTTGATTACGGTTATCAGCTATAATTTTTATCACTCATACTCATTGTTCTATGTTCATACCACGGACTAAGATATATCTAAGGTATATCTTAGTCCGTGGTTCATACCACAGAATAGATGAAATTTCATCTATTCTGTGCCACTGATATTATGTTAATTCGTGGCTAGTAGTAGTGGGAACAGCTGTTTCAGATAGTCAGTTCAGTTCACCGGTCAAATTATCGGAGTTTGATACGCATCCTGTATATTTCTATAGTGATTTCCATCTGACTGCACTAGTGTACACAGTGTACAGTGACTGTCTGGTCGACTCCGTGAATTTTGACGGTGTGGAAAATGATGTGATACTATGTGATTATGGTATCAGTGTTCGCGTGTAGTGTGCACTAGGGCATTCAGATGGAAAACGCTATTAAATCGTGGTGTGGTCCACGGATATAGATATAGATAGAAGTCTTCTATAGAAATCTGTGTGTGGATCCGGCTTTATCGTGAGTGGTGATAACATTCTCAGCGGCACGGACTAAGATATACAGGACTGGACACGACAAGGTTGGAGGGTGTGGGGGGTTGACTACGAAATGTTTTACAACAGGCAGTGTTCGGGGGATATTTTCCTTTTAGCATTACTAGCGCCGTCCTAGTGGATACTTATGGAACTAGAACACATCATACAAATTTCTAGTTC